CCCTTCCCCACGGACTACTGGTCAGATACCGCTGCTCAGGCCTCTGTCCGGTTTGGTGAGGGATTAATCATTACAAATATATGCATTTTGACAGGCCAATTTACACCTTTCAGTTCACACTTACACGCACTCACACAAAGCATGCCTACACACACACAAACACACACACACATACACACACACACATGCAAATATAGGACCGCAAGCGTCGTCTCACGTCTGCGCAACGCAAACATACATCCTTGTTGCCCTTTCATACAAATGATCCCCTCTGATGTCGCAGGAAAAGACCTTCCCAGAATTGTTTTAGTAATTATGTTTATTAGGTTTTGTGCATGTGTCATGACCAACATGATTACTTTGAAAACAAGCTTAGCCGTAGTGTGTGCCCCAAGATTAATAACATTGGGCTTAATGAAGTGGGAAATTAAAGTTCATCTTGCTACACGTTCATACTTATTAATACATGTTGTGCAGAAATTAATGAGCAATGCCTTGCCATCATCTGCGCTGGCAAACTTAAAAGCATTTCAACCATGACTCTACAAATATACTCAGAGCAATATAATAATATATCATCTCAGCACTCCACTAGTCGCCTAATTGTTAAAACGTGTGAAAGTACTGAATATATAAACTCGCACGGTGAGGTACAGTTGCTAATGATATCCTAAGCAGATGGCCTTCGTGAAATAACGGAAGCTACCTTTGATCTAGCCTAATCTCTCTGAGATAATGACGCAGAGGCGCGACTTGGGGAATGTGGAAGTGTAGGACTAATGCGCTGCACAGTGTTAGAGAGCAGAGGAAAGGAAGTGATAGAAGGAATCTGAGGGGAGTGTGAGGAGTGTCTAGTACTGTAGCATTGTGGCATTGTGGGAAGTGACCGTGTTGTTGCTCTGCCGTCACCGCGGCCGCGTCTCCTGGGAGTCTGGGCCACTGTTTGCCATTACCCCAACGCCAGGAGAAATATCACACATAGCAAGACTGGCATGCTGGGGGCTGAAATGTCAGAGCAGGAGGGAGGTTTTCAAACTCTCCCCGTAAGGAGGACGTGCAGCAGCAGGCTGGCGGACACGGCAAACACTCACAGGCACATACGCAAACAGGCACATTAAAGCATACATTCACGCACTGTCAGATGGCTGGACTCAGTCAACACACACACACACACACACACACACACAAACACACACACACGCGCACACACACATACATCCATACACAAACACTAAATTACAAAATGTTAATAAATGTTTTATATTTATATACATGACTGTTTTAGGCAAATAGACTAATCTGCTTTTTCCTTTATTTTTTTTTCAGCCATGTCCGGCCTGGTTGTCCCTCCAATGTAAATGCACTTTCATCATCTCAAGCACCAGTCTACACATTACCACTTCACAGGAGCACACAGCAAAAACGCTGGTATAATGTATAGTCAAACGCCCGTTCTGTTTTTAAAGATGAAGAAGACAAAAAAAAAAAAGAAATTATTTTTTTCTTTTCTTTTAAATGACTTTCGCAAACCTGCAGAAAAAAAAGGATTTCATGAGGAACAATATTTTTTTTTCTGTGGGAGTTTTCTTTTTTTATTTGTTTATTTTTTCCTCCCCATTTTATCACCCTTGAAGAGGACACGGGATGATGAAGGGTTTATTTTGTATACCTGTCGGGTTGTGCTTCGGCCTTGGATCAGTCCAATCAACCACGCATTCAATACTGGAAGGGACTCTGTGGACTCACCATCTGGTTGTAAAGTAAAAACACTGATGTACAGTACATTTGCCAATGAACTTCAGAAATTGTTTTTTCTGTTCCAACTCTCTTTTAATAGATTCACAACAGTTGTGTGTCTTTATAATGTGACTTTTTGTATTTTTATGTGTGAGAAAAATACACAGGGGCCAAGACAGTTTGAATTTCAACTGGAAAATATATGAGATATATAATGTAGAATTGATCTTAAAAGTACAACAAAATACGATTAAAAAGGGGTGGGGCTGGGTGGGTAAGGTTGTATCATGTTTCATTCCTGCATTTTAACTTAAATTTTGTAATTTATTGTAGCTAGAAATCATCTTCAAAAGTAAAAAAAAAAAAAATCCTCTTTGATTCAACAAGCACACTGATGTGTACAAAACACTGCTCTGTTGATGAATATGATGTACTTCCATGTCTAGAGCTTCCTTTTAAGCAAGTGTGTTTTGCCATGTTTTACAACTTTTTTGCTAGCACTGTATATTAATGCATTCCTAGGCTACTGTGAAGTCTGTTTCTTGTTGATGAGGAGCAGTCTCCCCCTTCTAGCTCCGACTCCCTTCTGTGTTTTATATGTGGTTAAAAATTGTAGACTATTGTGATATTGCCAAACTTGTGCTAAATATTTATACATCTGTCTTTTTCATGTTCTTTTAGATCGACAAAAAAACATTTAAAAAACAAAATTAAAATCCATTGACAACGTAGGAGTATAGTAGTTCATCGTCATCTTTCTGTTCAAACACACACTTGCGCTCACTGAGGGAAATTTTGTAACATATCAACTATAAATAATGTATTTATCTCTGAAATTTTGTATATTGCTTTTCATTATGTATGTATTAATCGTCATGCCCTTAATATAGTGATGCAGCACAGATAATTCAGCCAAGAACTGTTGCCTTCATTTGTTTTCTTTTTGTATTTGATGAAATGCAATGTGCATATATTTCACGTGTATCCTCAAAAATTTGTGTTACTCCGTCAAGACTCTCTGTCCATTTTTTTTAAAGGGGAAGTCAAACTTCATTGTTTATTTTTATATTGATTTTAAATTATCTATACAGACCATTTTGGAGAAAACTTTGTTGGTTGTATTGTCAAATAAATTGTTTGTGACCCATATGATAGTTGTTAAGATCCAATAGAGACTAATGTGCATGAGGGACAACCTTGGAGATAAAAAAAAACACTCCATTTTGTGGTTGTTTTTTTTTTCTGTTTTGTAGAATGTATAGAAGTCATTTTTACTCACCACTTATGACTCTGCCACATAGCTTACATGTGTTTACAGGGAAGAAAATTGAAAAATGTCAACATTTGGAATGGAAACAGAAATGAATAAGTGATGTTTTATTAAAAATTTTCAGTAAAAACACAATAGCTCCTCAACTGTGGACTTCTTCAGTTTTAAGTACAATCAGAACAAAGAAAAGAGACAGTAGAAGCTTCTGAAGACAAACCTGTGATTCGTCTGTAAGTTGTAGTGTTTAGACTTTGCCATAGAGATAACTGTTTGAAACCTGTGGAAAAGTGTAACATCCATAAAAGATGAAAACTGCTCTTTAGTCATATTCTTTCAGCAAAGCACTCTGACATTGTGACATATTCCTACTGGTCTTTGTATCAGCATATCCTGCATCTGTGGCACTTCAAAGGTTCATTGTAGTCATTCATAAACAGTGCGAGCTTTTTATTCAAAGCAGCCCAAATGGGGCTCATTCAAATCCCTCATTTCATTGCATTAAGCCACCTAGTTAATAAAGAATCAATACATTGAAAGAGCAAGGTTATCCTTTGTCTATAAGGGCTGGTATCGTTTTGAACCTCTTATAGTTTGAGCGCTGAAAGGGGGGGCCACTGTGAAATCTATACTCATCAAGTGGGTCAAACAGAAGGATAGAAGTGTATGAGGGAAGAATGGCGGTTCTCCTTAAAAACAACTGAGCATCTTATCTGGCATCCTGAGTGGTCGCGGAGAGCAGGTCACAAAATGTCAATTTCTCATCAAGGCAACATTGTCCGAGGCCACCTCTGCCTTTAATGCACAATTAAACGACGGCAAACCTGAGTGGCAATCAGCATATCACAGCTTATTATGTCAGGCGGCATGCACAGATCGCACGGCAGCGGTTCGGGAGATAGTCCAGGAGCTGCTGATAGCGCAAAGGACAGATGCACTCAAAAGAGCCATTTAATTTTCAGCTGCGATCGCCTTGTGCTTCAAATCATTCCCTCGATAATCCGATGTGTCTGATAACAATTGCCACACATCTGCTTCCTGACATTGCATTATCTGTTTCAGATACACGTACACGGGTTTTGGATCTATCGCCTTGCTCACCGCCGTCTCTGTTATTCAATGTTGCACAAACTCCACATTTATTTAGTCTTTACTGCCCCAACACATGAAACCAAGGAAACTGTCTCTCATCGCAGAAACAATAACCAACAGAGGGAAAAAAAAAGGCACAAAAAGAAAAATTCTGGGGGTAAAAGTGCAATCAAAAAACGACAAGCTCGCTCAGTTGTTGCCAGTTTTAAGAGCTCTGACGCCTGGCAGGCAGGCTGGAGGTACAGTATATTGTCTCAGCAGGTTTCTCTGTACCCAACGACCAGCCACTCGCTCTGCCACACCACTCAATCATTGTGAGAGCCTCTTTATTGGAGAACTCTAATGGCCACCCTCCACCATGATCTTAATGTGTGCATTAAATATTTATAAATCCTGGGTCAATAATGCCCCATAACCAGAGCCTGACAGACCCCCACCGTACCATGTGGCTGCCTCCCTCTCCAACACAGGCAAAGGTCAAGGGGTCATGCAATCAAAAGAGAGCGAGGCTCGCCACATCCATATGTTGCCACTCTTATCAAGACTTTCCTCAGTACTGGTTATCTGTCAAAGGAAAGAAATATTGAAAGCAATATCGATCTTAACTAGCCGTGTGTTGCCGAGGGCCCCGCTTCAAACATCTGCTCTGTGCATTGTTATATTTCAAAAAACACCTCCTCTCAATAATATAAGCCTGAGCGGTAATATTGAACATCTCTGTGTGGCGCAGGCTGCCTGACCATGACTAATAACCACGTTATTAACAAGCATCGCCGGAGATTTTTTAAAAAGTTGATAGACGGACCGAGCGTTTCTTAATTAGCGCCGGGTTAATTGTGCAGCCTGGCACCTACACGGGTGACTCAGTGGCTTTACGTGACCACTTCCAGTCTGCGCTCCTGTGCTGTTCAGGTGAAAGATTGTGCTCCGGTGATAGCGCACACAAAAGAGCGGCCGGACAATGAACCAGTCAATGGAGAGCTCCAGTTGAAAGAGCCACAATGGCCGTGCATGCTGGGAATTGGGCTGGACGATATAAAGGAATGAAACCTTCATTGAGGCCATGGAGGACAAGCATTCAGAAAACAGGTTTTGTTTGCTCTTTATCAATCTGCCGTTTCCCATGAGAAAAAACAATTCAAACTGACCTTAAAAAGAGAATATTACCTTACGCATCCACTCCCTATCTCTTATTGAAGGGGCTTATACGTTCACTTTTAATGGACGCTAATAACTTTGTGCCAATATGTGTGCAGTATCAAGACGGGCCGTAAAAACTAAAAAGGTGGATGATAGTTTATCTGCTCGATGGGCAGGATTTGTTCTCGGACAGACAGGATTTGTGTAACCGCTGAGTGATGTGTTTTGTGAGGAGAAGAAAAAGCGGCTGCGACTCTCGTGAAGTTTGTACACGAGTAGGATACTGCTGCCGTGACTGCCGAGATCATAACTTTTGAGAGGGCAATGAATCAAAATAAGAAGTCTGACCTTTTTTTTTTTTTTTGTACAACTCCACGTTTGAAACAAAACAGGGAATACAGTTTTTTAAAATTTTTTAAACAGTCCCACATTAGCGCAGTCTCCTGTCCGTGAATCGGTACATCAGATAAGTCACTGATCCCCTGCTACTGTACACTGGGAGTCAGCTTTGCAAGGAAAACTCTAGATCCTCGCAAAGATTTCCACTTCACTCACTGCAGTCAAGGAGGATGAGCAAAGTATCCCAGCGCTTCAAAATCCATTAAACTTGTATTTGGGTGTCATTTGATACGTCATCAATGTTTCAGTGCATTTCAAACCCACAAATGCAGGATTTACTTCCCCCCCCCCGGTAGAAACACAGTATTCACTATAATTTCGTTCGATGAACTTCACTTAGTCCAAAAATCACACGGTTAAGATTGCCCGGTCAGGGAGTGTTAGGCTATGGTGATAAAATAATATCACTTGAAGTGTATTTTCTGCCACAGTCTCCACCACATAGAGCTCCTTTCATAGTACCCCTCCGTAGTGCTTTGTCCAGTAGTTCTGGATATGATATCATCTATTAATAATGTATTGGCAATGGATTACATAAAAAGGGAGCAGAAATAACATCCAATATTCATGCCCCCTGAGCTTGACTGTGTCCAATCCGTTTGGCCCATAAAACCTTAGCCCCATTTCCATATCCGCTGTGGGTCACGACAGGTCTGCCGCACAAAGGCTCACAGAGCAGCTCAACTCAGGAAAAGGGCAGTAAAAATCGGGTGGATTTCTGAACCTTTATGAAACAGCCCCCCTTTGGAAAAAAAAGTGAAAAAGCCCTTTTCCGATTTCAGCGCCTGTGAAAAACCTGGTACTGTATTTCCCTCTTTAATTGTGCCACTTGAGAAATTGACGTGCCTCTGAAACATGGCATGAATCTCACAGTTATTGCAGTCCCCTTGGCAGGGAATGTTGATACAACATCTGCATGCTATAGAAAGTAATGGAAGTAGCAGAGGTGGCAGCTGCAACTCTACAGGAAGTGTGCCATTTTCAGGCAGTGCTGCTGTGAGAACCACTAACTGCCAGCCTGGTCTTGCAGGCAGCTCTGATTGCCAGGACACTATGACAAACACGCAGGGGCTGGGAGTGTTGCATCCTGGGGGATGACAGCTTCTGTTTGATTGTCAATAAGGCTCATTAGCAGAAAAAATGGAGAATGCGAAAAGAGATTAAATGGTTTGAGACAGGGTCCCGCTCATGTTTCATTAAAGAGGATTTATCAGGCCCTTTATTTCATCAATTCCACAAAAAAATCGTTTATTGCTTCCACACAAAAAGTAAAGCTAAAATTATTTGTAAAAAAAAAAAAATCGAAACATTCCAGTAATTGTAATGAAGCACAAGCTATTCCATCAAAACAGACCCAACAAGTGCTAATCGAGCCCTTTAACCATCATCCACACCTTACATAAACCTCTCTCCTCGTGCTCGGAGCGTCTCTCATCTTAAGAACAGTGGCGGATGTTTCCCTCCATCTTAGGGAGGAACGGCCAACAAAGCAGCGTGTAAGGGCCTTTCCCTGAAGAGTCCTTGTCACGCCGCGCCAAACCTCTGTGATTATCGTTGTTTTTGCAGAGAGTGTCCATGCCTGCCAATACCGCTGTTCCATAAATGAATTTGGCCCCTCGTCAACGAATTACCTAACACGCAGAACTGTGTATGTGTCACATCCAATTCCAACTCACCGGCTTTGGTGGTGTGTGTCAGCTGGAGGACTTAATCATCAATCGTCAATCATAATAAGCGAAGCACATTGATAGGGCTCCTCTTTTTTTTTTTTTTTCTTTTTTCCTCCAACACAGTTAAATAAAGTGTAAAGGGAGAAGTTAAAACTGACCTTGTTAAATTGGGACCACAATTTATATTCCTAATTTAGTGTATGGATTAATTAGTCTTGTGTGTGTGTGTGTGTGTGTGTGTGTGTGTGTATCAGTTTCCATGCGGCGGAGCTTAGGAGCTATATCCACTTCATCAAATCACTGCTCGCTTTCATAAGGAAACTCTGGAATGATATCTGTCAGTCCAATCTTGATGTTTTTGCTCAGAACGGGCTTTGCATATTTTTAGCAGCACACTTTTAATTAATGCTTAATTGGACGATTTACAGAGAGGACTTTTCTACTAATCAATAACCCCTATCTCACACCATACAAAATTAATCAGTATGACCTGCTATCAGGCCTTAATGCAGAAGTACACACACATAACATGCAAACTGGCAAAGCATGCATTTCGCACAAGGCTGAGGAATCTGGCTCATATTTTCCCTCTCCCTGATCCAATCCACTCCTCTCCCCCGTCATATAGATCGGATCTGCGGGGGCCAGAGGCGCTGACAGAGCCCAGATGCTCCCAGTCTGTCTGGGGGAACTGGGGAGACTGGTGCCATGGGGTCCTGGAGCCTCTGAAGTGCCGCCCCTCCGTCAACATGACCAAGGCTAGACCTGCACTTTCTCCAGGCTGAGACACTCTCCTTACCACACTGACAACCACGCTGCATAGTCACAGATTGATACATGCAGGGATACGCACTCACAGGCACCCGCTCTCACGTAATGTATGGTCGTTCATCAGCCGTTCCTAATTAGAGACCCCCAGACCAACAGTTGAGTTCATAAGGTTACGCCGACACACTGGTACAAGGTTACTAACGCACACACTCACATGCTGATACCTCTCAGGGTTTCTTCTACTTTCTCATTTAATCCTGCTCCGTCTCATCACCACTGTCCTAAACTTGCTCATGTGGAGGCGGGGGTCTCTTTGTTCTAAAGAAACAAAAACAAAAAAAAAGGCACCATACGAATCCTCCATCCTCCCGCTTTCTCTCTCAAAACACAAAGATCATTACAAGAGCATCAAAGTATGCCATGTTTGAAATGATATTTCTCTTTGTAGTTGGGGCGTAGCGTGGAGTGTGTTGGTATTAGATGCTGCTGTGGCAGCTGTCGTGGCTGGCTGCGTGGTGCCTCAGTGTCAGGGCCTCTGAGGCCAGGCTGTCCCGGCAGACAGACAGAGGGGGAGGAAACCTGATAGCGCAGCCAAGCCCCAGTCTAATGTCTGCCTATCCAGCTATCTATTCCTGTGTCTATCTGTCTGACTGACTGTTGGACACTGCCTATCTGCATGCCGGACACTCCTCTGGCTCCCAAGCAGCAGTGCACCGCTTGCAGTTGAGTTAATACGTTCCAAAAAGTTATCTTCTTTTTTTTTTTTTTTACGCATACAAACTTCTCGGGGAAGAATAAAAGGAGCTATTTATGAATCACCGATGTAGCTGCGGGATTCACTTCGGCAGGGTCCCCAACTAAGCTTGCGACTCGTACCAAGGGGTGCAGGTTGTGATAACATTAGAATTACGAGCCGACATGTATGAGGAGCGAGAGATGGAAGCGCAGAGTGTTTTGAATTTGATGTGGGGGCAGAAAATTGCTCTATAATGAGGAGGGGTGCCGGGGATATGAGCTGGGAAGTGGGGATTTGGAGACAGGATATAAGTTATGAGAAGGAAACTAATGTTAGGAAATGCAGAGGTTGTTGTTGTTGCGACTGTAAAAGCTAAAAATGTATCTTGTTTCTATCGGCCATGATTAATACAGCCCGGCCAGGTCAAAACCCCGCACTAACGCTATGGATGCCACCAACCATATCCTCACTCTTTCTGGGGCTCAAATGAGTGTGTGTTGTAAGTGAGGGAGTGTGTGTGTGTGTGTGTGTGTGTGTGTGTGTGTGTGTGTGTGAGGGGGTTAATAAATGTTGAATCAAACGCCGCACGAGACACTCACACTCCTTAAGGGTTGCCCATTAGCGGTGTGTGGGTGCATGGGGAGTTTATCAGTGTCTGGGTGATTTATGAAGTCAGACTCAATATCATCCACTTCACCCACACACATATGGACATACACATGTGCGCACACCAACCAACACGCATGGCCACATGCTCAAACGCACACGCGCTGACAAGCTTGCAAGCACATGCACTGGTGTAGCCGCTCTCTCTCTCTCTCTCTCTGAAATGGAGGCAGATATTAGGCCAAAATTAAAGGTTTCACAGAGATTAACAGTGCGGATGATGAGATCGTCTCGGCCTCTTTTAATCTAATTCCTTTTTTATCTCCGAGCCAGCATGATACGGAAGAGGTACACACGGTGAAAATACTCCCGCAAAATAACACAGACATAATAATAATAATAATAACACTGCTACTAATGCTGATAAATATTAAATTGCCATGGAAATGTAAAAATTGAGAAAATAAAAAAGCTTTGAATTATCTTTAAGAGATTCCTTGTGTAGCTAAGCAATTACATGGCCAATTACTGGCAGCATGTTTGAAGCTCTGATGCTGGACTTGTTTTTCCAACATCAGACTCAGACCTCTACAGACATCAGTTTCTCCGGCTGCGAAATTCACAGCATTCCATAGAATTTACTTATCCACGAGAAAAGAAAAAAAAAAAAAAAAAAAAAGGAGGGTGCTTACAGTGCACTTCAGAGTGCGCCTGGCTTAAATGGGACCCCTTGTGGCTGTGTCACAGCTCCCTTCGTTAGGGGGCTGACTGTAGCCTGTAGTCACCACAGGCATCATTAGCCCCTCTGTGAAACCACAGACTGAGTCTCATTCTTCATCTGCCTGTCTGCTGCCTCAACATCTATACGCTTGCGATGGTGCTCCAACGGCAGAGTAAGCGAGTCCAGCAGCACGGCAAGATGGCCACAAGGAGCCGATCGGATAAGAAATTCAAAAATGCAGCAAAGTTCAAATGTATTCAGCGAGCGGGCCACTTGAATTGGTTCTGTAAAGGTTAGACTCGAGGTTATTTTGGAGGGTGGATTATTAGGCTACCTGGGCTGAAGAGAAAAAGAATAACTATGAGCAGGTAAGGGTCACTCTGGGGCTGCACTAGTCTGTTCAAGAACTTGGGGGAAAAAAAAAAATACTAAACTGTCAATGTTACGACAGATCATCGTGAGAAAATGTAGAAAATAAAAGTAAAGGACACATTCAATTAAAGCCGCTGCTATTTCTGAACACACGCCACCACGGCTGCCCTCTCCATATGGTCGTTTCAAGAGAGAATAATTTATCCCAAAGGGATTAAACTGGGTTGTGATGAAAATAAAATAACATATAAACATTTAAGTTACAGATTAAATGTGCAGCATGAATTCAAGGTTGAAATGTTGATTTCTGTTTCCCGTTCTGTACTGCCCTCTAATGGAAAACACTACTCAGAAATAAAAAAAAAAGGAGCTCTGACATCCAGAGCTGCAGTGAGGAGAAGACATACAGCATAATTAATTATGAGCTGAACTGAGTGAATGCTACATGGAATCAATTTTTAAATTAAATGCAATTAAAATGATGAAAAGGCACGATTTGACATTTTGAGATGTATTTATTTAAACACGTCCAACAAAAGTACGGTATATAATGCATAAGACATCTCCACTCTAGGTGGATTATAAGGCTCGAGCAAACAATGAGATCTAAATGAAGACAAAACAAATGCTTCACTACAAAGCTTTGTAGCAGTAAAATTCAGAGCCTTTAACTGGATGTTGAACAAAGCATTCACTTGGCAGGAAATTAAAAAACCAACGAGAGGTACAAAGACTAATTCTGCTTCGGAAAAAAAAACAACAACAACAACAATGCAAGAGACATATTTTTAAGGGAATAATAATTCTTTAGAAAAACCATTCCAGCACTATCTGGCAAACGCAACGGAGACCCACGGGAGCATACGTTTGTAATTCCTACTGTTCTCTGTTTAAGTTATTTTTGTACATTCTAATTCTGCAACAACTCTGTATCACATTAACAATGCAGCATCTCTATTCTTAGATTTTAAAAAAGAAGAATAAACTGAAAATCGACAAGAAGTTCCAGTTGTTCCACCGAGTGTGCCAAATGCGCTAAACTTTATGGCCCTGTTTTGCGTTGTTAAAAAAAAAAAAAATCCTGGCCTTGTGTGTGTGTGTGTGTGTGTGTGTGTGTGTGTGTGTGTGTGGACTGAATGGACAGTTGGCCTCTGTCATGCTTTAGCCTTCGCTTCTCTGCCTCTCATGGGTGAGCAGCCATTGTTTGAGATGGTTGCCCTTGCCGCTCATGTACGGCCCACTCTGTCCACTGCTAGAAATGACTCTGTGGCAGGGGATGAGGAGAGGAACCTGGCGCAGACAGACAGAGAGAAAATTCAACTCTGAGGAAATAAACATGTTGAAGTTCTGCAAGTATTACACAAGAACAATCGTACACGCAAACAGGGACACTTTTTAAAATGTTTTCTTTAAAACAAAGAGTTGTATTTCTTCCAATTTATGAATTCAGAAAGGAGGCTGCAGAAAGCAACTTTTCAGTATACATGTTTTAAACTTTAAAAATATAAATGACATGAAGGATCAGTACTGTTACCATTAAACTGTGACGCGTTACTAAAAAACTAATGTTTTAAAAAAAAAAAAAGAAATACATATTGGAGCTTTACCGCTTTCTTGTTCTCAGGTTGACATTTATTGTCACAGCAATACAAGAGTTGGAGACATTGATAGCAGATATGTATTATGTATGAAAGAATCTCTGATTTACCACATAAACGGTGCGCCTTAAAAGTAACCAACGTGCAGAAAATATGAATCTGCACTTTTTTTCTTTTTTTTTGTGGTTGCCTTTTATGTTCATGCACTGCATGAAAACAAAGTGTCACACCAGAAGTGTCTGGTTTGATCCTGCACAAATCCACATTCAGGGCGATGGCTCAGTCTTTGGGTATAAATGTTTTTTTACTCTTTAATAGTGTAAAGCAAAGAAGCAATCAAAAATTAATGGGCAAAAACACCAGCAGGATGAATATTCAATCGAGAGGGTGTCAACATTAAGATCTGATAACCCTGTGATCATTAAAAAGAGGAAGTCGGTGGAGCGTTTACTCTTGTTGCAGAAGACTGCCAGGGGGGGGGTCCTGAGTTCTTTGTAAACTAAATGGCTGGAGAAAGATTAAACAAGCAAGCCCAAAACACTTCGATCATTGTGAATTCAGAACAAGAAGAGTGGCAATGGTTGGAAGGAGTCACAGCAATGATTCCTTTTCAAATATTCTTGACGTTGCCCTCGTTGTTACTTGTTACACGAAGTACAAAAACATCCCAACTACTGCTGCGCTGTGACTATAATTCTCCAGTTGAACAAAGTTATCCGGGACCTGATGGCTGCACCTCCAGCCTTTTCGATAAAAGTTGGACATGCAGTGTGTTTCAGTTCAAATCCATCATTAAACCCGCTCCCATATCAACAGCAATAAAACTTTCCGAGCCCCAGATTAACCTTGCAGACAGAGAAATACTGCTTGAGTATTCGGATCAATACTGTTCCCCGGGTTTGGAGGGAGAGCAGGGTACCCTCAAGGCCTGCGGATCTGCCTCTTCACTTGGGGGGAAAAGAGCACTACGCCAGGCTTATCAATACTCAAATCCTGGTGAAGAAGAAGTGCCACAGAGAGGCAAGGATCGATTGAGCACACTGAGCTTTTCACAGTTGAAGCCTGAGTGGAGCAGCGCTACTGACAAGTAATTGACACCGACAATCTGACTCTGGATCTGTATCAGGAGCTGAGGGCTCAGGCTCCCAGGCTCCCTGACAAAAGGACGGAAATGTCTGTAAAACACGAGACGGAGAGCTTTTATACAGCCATCCAAAAGCAACGCCATTGGCTAATGTCATATACAAAGCCTATGAAGAAACTAGTGCGTAGTATTAAAAACACACCTTTTTTTGTAGTTTATTTGCATTTGTCTTTCAAATTAATTTTAATGATCATAAATTACTTTTCTTCCTACTTTAATAAGAAAAACAGTGTCGGAGGAAAAGCCCGGTACTGAGATGAGGATGTACACAAGCCATTTCACTGCACATGTGAGGGAGAGCATCTCACCGGCTGCACTTTCTGTACAAGAAGTGTTCTCTGCCTCACAGAGCACACCGGTGGTGCCCACAGCACTACATGGGCAGAGCTAAACGGGCTTTGATCAAAGGGTTTGATCAAAAGAAGACACACCACTTGCCCTCTAGCTCTCCATTTTGTACACAGTGGATTCATGGGCAAAATGATGCGGGCCAGGTTTCCTGCAAGAATCGGAGATTTGCAGCGAACATCTCCAGTAAAGACAGGAACAGGAACAAAAGGTGTGGGCTTCAAATTGTGCTGTAGGTAGACTTGTACTTCTTCGCCGCTCTCAGAGGGAGGCGTTTGTTCCGCTGTTGCTCATATTCGAAACACACCTACAGTTTACATTACATATCCTTCATCACGGAGACTTATTGTATTTAAAAACTCAGGTGGAGTACACAAGTACTTTGTTGTAGGCAGTGCTCTTCAAGAAATTGAAACAAAAACAGATGGAATGAAAATCTGTGTCATCACTTTATATATATGAAGAGAATCTATTACATACAGAATAGATTACATAGGTCTTTTTATGATTTTTTTCTGTATTTGTATACTTATTAATTCAGCATTATTACAACATAACATATTGATGTAAAACCTTAAAATATATTGCAAACCATGTGATGTTTTTTTATTTATGAATATTTAATTGGAGATGCAACTGATGATTAGTTTAATTATCGTTTGATCTGCCGACTACTTTCCAGATTTAATCGTTACGTCTATAAAACATCAGAAAACAGTTTCCAAGGTGACAATTCTACAATTACCCTAAACAGAGAAAAAAAACATCTTTACATTTTAGTAGCTTTAATTAACCAGAATTATTACTGAAAAGTGACTCAAAAGCAACTGTTATCAAAATATTTGCAAATGAATTGCCTAATCATTGCAGCTCTATATTTCATACTGGAAGTGATGTCATGGTAAAATGACTAATTAACCTTTGGCTAAAGGCAGCTTACAACATGCAGGTTCATGAAGTCATTAAAAAAGATTATAATAGAAATGATGAGTTTCCCAATCTGGCTAAATAAAGCAAGTCAGAGAGAAGCCTGTCAATCAATGCCAGCAGCACTCACCGGGTTCCTCCTCATGGCCCCTCCCACTGCCCGCACCGCTCTGGGGTTTCCCGCCATCTCGGCGAGGCGCTTGTACGAGACCGTCTCTCCAAACTTCACATCCCTCAGAAGTGTCTGCAACACGCGGCTGGTGAATGCGTCTTCGCCACAAAGCAGAGGACAGAGAGGAAGAGCGAGAGACAGACGGAGAGAACAGAGGAAGAGGGGAGTCCCTCATTTAATCAGACAGCTGCCTGAGAGGCTGCCGACAACAAGACAACACTTTAGTACAACGCATTTTACACTCCTTTGAAATAAACTGGTGTTTTGAATTTAAATCAAAAGTTTGAGACATCACTACATTTTTTGATCAACTTAATGGTTTTTCATCATGTCGAACTGCATGTTTGAGGGCCAATTCTTCCTCCAAGGGGCTCTGTAGGACTTTACAATACTCATTAACAACTAAATGCACAGAAGTCCCTCAATTTGACCTTAGAACTAGTATTAACATGCTACAGACGCTGATGTGAGAAAATTATTTCCATGGCAGAAAAATCTAGGTTATGCTTTGAAAGGTCACAGCTAAAATTAAAAAAGTTCGCTCCTTCATTTAAAAGGATTAAGAGAGGCCAAAAAGACTGCAAATCTGCTCCAGATTTTTAATAATAATAATTTGAATGTTGCACACCATTTGTGGCAGTGGGATGACTTTGAGGTTAATCAGACCAATTTGTCCTTTTAATTGCTTTCTATTCAGAGTAGATTCATTATATCATCTTCACTTAAATGGCGGAATTCTTCAAATCATCCGCAGCTTAACCGACCACATTAACGGCTTTGATTTCATTAGCACTTTAGCAGTAGCATTATCTTTTTCTTTCTGGATTACCAGGCAGTGACTGAGAGGCAAAAAAGAGGGAAAAACCTATTTGAAGCATCTCGAAAACCTTAAGACATCGATGCAGTGAGCTCGTGTAGCAAGCGAACAACACTTTCTTTTTTGCACAGAGAACAAGATGGGGAACAATAGTCTCGTTATCAGGAGGGGGTGAACTTCTTCTAGTACATACATGTACTCAGTCATGAAAATTCAATTAGTGATCTCCCATTCTCTCTCATTTATATGGTCTAAGAGAGCACATGACAAGTGATCTATGAGAAATCCCTCTAAATTGGCATTGTGTGAAAACATGTCACACCCCTGTCTCTCTTCTACAGAGTGAACATCCTTTGCTCCCCAGGCTCCCTCGCTACCTTATAGTCACTCTCCGCTACACAAAGCCACGCGAACAAGGCAATTTGCCTAAACTGGGGGGAATAAGTGTAAAACCTAAAGGGGATATATTTGATTGATGCGCACCCATGTGAGTTCTTTGTCTTGAACAAGGCCCGTAGGTACTGTTTAATAATTTTTCAGGTAATAATCACGCTGTCAACGAGATGACGGGCTCTTACGCAGACAGACTTAATGTTATGAGGCGATAAGATACACCCCTGAAATTTCTTTTATGCATTATTCTCCCTCATAAAGCTCGGATTTGGCCACATGATGTGTGTGATACATATTGATATATCGCTTTCGTCACCACCGGCTGGTAGATGACAACTTGCCCAGACTATGGCTATGTCAAATCCCTGTTGATGCAAACGTTATTGACAAACAACCAGAGTCAGTGTCAAGCCAGCAGACGCTGCTGAGCACTTTCGCCGACAAGCAACAAGCTACGGGGCCGTTTACACTTTTAGAAATCCAGAGCAGCTTTTATTTTTCCTGTAAGGTTTCACATCTCCAACAGTTCCGGACAAAAAAAAACAAGTGTCTGCGCTTTTATCTGCCGCTACAGAGGTTAAAGAACTTTGCCCTCATCAGTGTTAGTGACAGAGACTTCATGCGGGTCACTCGAGGTGACCAGCAATGATTTGGAGAGCAGTCCCCCAGCCCCATACTTCATAAAGAGCCTAATACGCTGTGTCTGGGGGTCAGGACCCTCTTTAGATCGGGGTGTAGTGATGTCAATTGTTTAAATAAAAGTTGAGAGGAAGCACTTACATGTTTACAGACATCCCATAATTATGTCACAGGTCATTACCTACCATGAGGCCAGGTGATGGGGCCACTGCAGAGGCAGAGGCGGATTGAGCCGCAGTAAAATTGAACAGATCGAGCGATTATGAATGTATTGGCATATATGATTGATTTGCTCATAATTTTGTATACGAGAGCAATTTAAAAGAAGAAATAAACAACGGGCGTAAACTGAATTCCATCAGCCCAGCTAATGATAGATTTGGAGAGATGACTTTCAGCTGACAGCCACCTCTGATATGATTGTGACAATATGAAGACAATAGTGGATATGCAGCTACCTCATTATCCTTTGTGTCTAATGGGAGGGAAGACTTTGACTCCCAGTCAAAGTGTCTCTTGAGTCTTGAGGGATCCATACTTTTGAAGGCTGACGGGGTGCTGATGATTCTCTGATTATTCGATATTCTGAAAACGTTCATTTCCCTAATTCCTCTCCCCATCACAGGGGCGAGTCCTGGTGAGCGTCTCATCTCACCCTGTGCTGTGCACAGGGGGAGGTTCAGCCTCCTGCAGGAACACAGTCATTTGGGCTTTGAAGAGCGCCCTTCCCCCCCTCCTTTGCCTGCCCCCCCTCCCTGCATATTCCCTGTGCCGCTTACCGAGACTAAGATCCTCACGTCTGTTACATATGGATGTATAATTAATGAGATCAGAATATGCATCGTTTTGAGAACCCATGATGGTGTCTGTGTTTTTCTGGAGGGGGCAAACGCGCGTGCACAAACACGAGCTCAATGAGCACGACGCACGCACGCGCCATTCCTCTACCTCTAACGGCCCAACTTGCGTGTGATCTTGAACGTGACAATCAGTCAGACAGTATAGAAAAACTGCACCTCGCATCTCCTTTCATGTCACCTCTGTTGCTCAGGTATATCGTGACAGCTAATATGAAAAGTGGCTTGTTTTGTCAGAAATGTGTAAATAAACATGGCAACACTTCAAGTGAAGGTCACAACTCAATATTACATGACAAGTGCTGCGAGAGCGCTGTCGCGTTCAGGTTCTCCCACAAGATAACTGAGCAAACAAAAGTTGGTTGCCACAGATTGTAATGACCTGATTAAACTTGTATTTTTATTTTTATTTTTTTTCCCCAGGCAGGCAGTGGCTGCATGACTGGATCGAGTAGGAATTTGTACAGCAGTAAGGCAAAAAAACCGAATCCTTAATATTTGTGAATTAACAAGCAAAAAAAAGAAACCTATTTTCCTCCCCTCCAAAGACAAATACTCTCGATGCTCACATTTAACATTTCTACACCGGCGTGGCCTATGGTTCTGACTACTGAGAGCAATCCAAGCCTAAACCCTGTATTTACTGAGCCCCAAAACAACAGGCGAGGGAGAGAGGTGCAACATAGCACAATCACCTATTCAGATCAGGTACTAATGAAGAATTCCATCTATCCTGAAATTTAATTAAAACCCCAAAGACTTCAGATGAGATGCGATTTGAAAGAGCCTGGGGCTGGTACACAAGCACTTGGTGGCGAAGGGAATCACACTGAAAGTTGATATCGTAATTGGTCCTGATGTATTTCTGCATTGCCTTTGCGGGAGCGTGGGACTCATAGCTGTATACAGGGTCTCGATGGAGTACCTGCTCATTGAAAATGCCATCACTCAACCACTGCAGATCTGCATGAAATTAGAGAGCAACTAAGGCCTGATTGCAAGGGAAAAGAGGCACGATTGTTAAATGCATATATTAAAGCAACTTTTTTTTCCTCCTGTGTAGGTGTGCTTCTGGGTCTAAATGAGCACTTCAGGAAATCTTTAGGTTAAAATGCAAGGAACGTCTAAGTGTGACAAAGAAATAGCTTCTAATTGCTTGAAAACGGCGGTAAGTTTGCAATTTCAAAAGTGAGTTGTCAGGCTGCGAGTATTGTTTGTTTCCTCAAAACAAAAAGCGCCAGGGATAATTAATTCCTTGTTTTTTTCCTCAGCGCCCTCAATCATTCACTGCGCAGTCACAACTACCAGTTGAAAGGACCCTAATTGTCAATTTTTCGGGGTGCTTTCATTTTACTCGTCCTAGGTGACTGGTCAAGCAAACAATAAGCTCATTCAAACTTTACCACCATTCACATGTTGTCGGTGATAAAAAAAAAAAAAAAAAAAAAAAAAAAGGCTTCCTGTCTGAAAATGTCAAGAGTGGAATTCGATCAGTTTCAAAGAATGTGCCAAGAATCATAGAAAAGCTTGCCAAGACTAACACGCGTGGTAAGAGCTGCCACAGATTACTGAACCAAGTTACAGCTCTGTGTTCTGTTCTCTCTCCTCTCGCTCACCCACTCACTCGCTTTTCCTCAGCTCTCTCTCTCTCTCTCTCTCTCTCTCTCTCTCTCTCTCTCTCTCTCAGCCATAAAATACTTCATTATAACACAGTGAGCCAGTGAGTGTAAGTGATGTAACTGACAATTAAGAGTGAAAGCCTGATCCCAGTCATGGCTCTGCAAATATTTATCCATGACAGACCTCCTCGCAGGGCGGGGTGGTGAAAGGCAGGGAGCGGGAGACTCCCAGTGGTCTGCGGCTCACTGAAGTACGCCTGGAGCCATTCGACGCAGCGCTGCAACTCGGGGCTCATTTCTGCCGGGCTATCGTTGACCACGCGGCTCAGGGGGGCCTCACTGCTCCTGCGAGGGATACAAGGCAGGATGGGGAGTTGAGGTGGGGATCAGAGGAGCGATCATAATACCCAATTCTTGGTTGAATAGTGCTCAAATATGTCACAAGAGTGTAATAACATGCCAACGGGTGACACAGATGCAAGATGGCATCATTTGCAAGAGTGAAACTAAAGGTGTTAATCGAGACGTGTTTAAAATCTAAAGTTCCACGTTTCGGCGGTGCTCCTGTCAGTGGGCTGTGACAAATATCAGGGCTGTGAAAGACAGAAAACACAAGGACATTTGGTACAGTCGATATACATATGTTTATGAAAGTGCAGCATGATAGAGTATGAAAGGAAACATTGTCGGGTCATAAGGAACGGCGCTAACAGTTTATTTCAAACAGCTTTAAGGAAGCAGAACCACTTTCTGAACAAAAGAAAGTTTTCAAAAGTCTTGCAGATCTTATGGGAAAAAAAAAGGTTAAGAGCACACCGTTAACAACAGTTTTAACTCTGCTTGGGTCTAGTTTATAGTTCATGACAACTATAAATGGATTTTTTTTTTTTGGCCAGAGCGGTGCTGGCCAGCAAAGCACTGCACTTGGACGCGCATCTTAGCATGAGTAGATGCTTGGAGGAATTTGCCGATGGTTGAGTTGGCATCACTTAACAGCTGAATTTCTCTCTGCTGCTGACCACCCCCCAGGTCAATGCAAGCACACTGACCCATATTTGACACTTAAAGACCCTACTGGGAAGGTCCTCTCTTAGCATGTGCATTACTGCAAAGTGGACCTCAAGCTGTGTTGTGGATCTAAAGCAGGCCGCCAATGCCATTAACTGGTGTACAGGACTTATAAATAAATAATATCACCATTTAAGTGCCCCTTTTTTCAAAATTGGCTTATCCTGTATGGTATTAATAATAGACATTTACTTTGTTAAACACAGACCGTCTCTCTCCTGCCCGCCGTAACAACACGGCCCTAAAGTGTTTTTACACTTCTGCAGGTCACAGTTTGAGCAACATTTTATATTGGACATGTGAAGCTGAGGTTTACTGGAGTGTTATGACTGAGCAGGTCAGTTTTCAGGGAACCGCTCTGCCTGCTAGTTTGTGGCTGTGTGATGAAAATCTCCTGGGTGCCGTTTAACAGTGGGTGTAAATACAGTAAAAGGTGTAAATACTCTCATTTCTAAATAAACCACACAGCAGTTTATAGTTGAGTGGCGAAAAAACTCACAAACCCACCAGCGGGTCCTGTGCTGAGACCCGCTCAAACAATGGCCATGGCTCATGGCAATCTCTGTCGGCATGGGTGAGTGCCCAGCCAGCCCCTACTTGTCATTGTCTCTCCTTTCTATCCTTCCCTTCCCTTCCCCGCCCCCCCCTGCTCTCCCTCCTCATTTCCCCCTCTCTATTTCTCTATCCTCCCACTCCAGCTCTTTTGGCTCCCCACCACCTACACCCCCAGACACACACCCACCATCCCCCCCTACCTCTCTTTCTCTCTGCAAGGATCTTCAGGCCACCGTTCCCTCTCTAAAACACCCCCCCTTTCCCTCCACCTCCACCACCACCATCACCTCCTCCTCTACCCCTCCACAGCCCCTCTTTCTCTCTGAGAGGATGTTCCAGCCGCTGCACACTGACAGCTCGGGGATATTGTGTGTGGAAATGTTCCTGTTGGACCCGCAGGCCCTTACAATCTACCGGACAAAGGCTAGAGCACCTTTGCTTAAGGCTGGGCACCTTTGACCTCCAGCTCACACTTCAGACTTGTCACCGTGGCTAATTTTCTTCTCCCCTCAGCCCTCCATTATGGATGTGCCCGGCTTCAAAATGTGTTTTGAGTGATATAACATTGACAGTAGTAAAAGTTAATGCAATGCAGTACATGTTATGGCCGGTAAACAACACCGAAATAAATAAATAAAAGCGGAACAACATCAGTCGGGCTGAAGTCTGTCACCTCTAGGTGCAATGGGGGATTGTTTTTAAAGAGCATGTGGGCAGTGGAGATGTAGCTCCTGCGCGGCAACATTTCCAGTTGCTTCAATGAATTACGAATAAAGCGGCAATCATATGACCTTTATAACGTCCGGACTGGCACGTTAGAAACTCTGCATTTCACATGAGAGATTAAGAGATGTGTGATAAATGTTGGGCTTATTACAAAGAAACTCTCAAAAAAGTGAAGCAATCTTTATATTGTTTTAAAGTATTTGCCATCCCCTGTCTAAAAACCAAGAAGTATAAATAGTAGGGATCATAAACAGTATTTCATTAACTGTGAATAACAGTTCAAATGTGGTTAAAGCTAAATTGTTATTTATTATCTTTTGACTAGTTCAAATTATATATTTATTTAATGTCCTTCAGGCGTTTACTATTTCATCACAGGTAAGGAAATAAGAAACTAATTCCAAACTAGCCAGGATCTGCCGCACTAAAAAGAATATTTCCCTTGACAGAAGATTGAGATTTGAGAAAATGTCTAATATTGTGCTCCTGTCACAATCAATTTCCAATTACCATAAATCATTGCTGCGTAAAGTGGGAGTCATTTGCAGTTCTACCTATTTTCCCAACTCTAATATAAAGAATGAATTGAGCATTTATATAATGTTGGAGGTTATTTCATTCATCCTGGAGGAAACAATCAAAGGAGACAAAGGAACAAAAAAAAAAAAAAAGAAAAAGAAAAAAAGAATAGCCAACATTAAATTTGTCATTTTCCTTCAGCATATTCTGTATCTGCAGTTGCACAAGACTTCACCAAGACTTTTTCTATCAGCTGCAGACGTAAGAATGAAACAGGTTAACCACAGGATCTAATTGAAAGGAATCTGGCGAAGGGTGTAATGGTATATTGCACAAAAAGGGGAAAAACTCAGAACTCATGCCTCCATCCTGTGAAGCGTGATGGCGCTCATCCTGACTCGATCGGCTGTCACTTTTGACACAGCCTGCCAGAGTTCTCCTTCACCGATCATGGGTAACATGGCGGGTCAGAGGATGAAATAGAAAAGGCCAAGAGCAGTCCAATATTTTCCTCGGCCTTATAGCTGCAGATACTTAACTCAGAGACGTCAAAGACTCAAGAGAGCATGAAAAAAGCCTAAAATGACTGTCTAAAAAGGGGAAAAAAAAAATACAGCATGTCTCTATGAATGTCAAGATCCCGATGTTCTCTGAGCCAAAGTCTGTGATACAATTGTAAGCCACTTGCTCAATGCAGCTCGTTCAACCATTTAAAGATCATTCAGATGCCTATCTGGCTACCGCGGCACTAAAGTCGGGAGCTTTTGGAGTGGTAAGCTGTAAGGAATGCTTCCCATTCCTATTCGTGCTCCGACCATTTCAAAAATAAAAGCAACTTGGCCGGATAAACTGCTCTCTAGATATCCAACCACTCTTATTAGCGAATGTCCGCCGAAGAGGCCGCAACACTCAATCCAATACATAAAAGGTGGTGGTAAAATACTGCAGAGTAGGCAACAAAGCACACAACAATTAGGTCTTCTCCCAGCTGGCTAGCCACAGGAGTCAGTGAAGGCGTGTATTACCAGAGCCTTAACTCTTACTCCATTATGTAGTGTATCCACACACCCCGACGCAGCAATGTTTATCTACAACAGACTACTGAGCAGTTTCAAATAGTGTTTTTAGCCTCTATTCTCAAGTGCCATAGTAAGAGATTCCAATTACCCGAATGGTAAGGAGCCAGTGAGGAAGGCATAAAGTACATTAGGGATCCCCTGTAACTGCAGGGACCTTTTAGAGCCTCAACTGAAGAGGGCCGAGAGACTGGAGGGACAGTGACCCTGCATGGATAGCCTCTGTCAAAATTTGACCACGTCAAGCACAAAGGCATTATGGGAATCCAGTGTCACCAAGTCCTAATTACTGTCTGTGTTCAGAGCAAATTACTGCCTTGTTCCTCTGATTAGCGAGGAGGCTAATCTTCACCTGTGTACGCCAGCACTGCTGAGGGCCCTTGAGTGTTAGCGCTTCGTCTTCTGTAATTTATTTTTAAATCAGTGCCCGCTCCCAGGAGTTTTGAGTGTTTTGTTGTGAACCGCTTACCATGATCCCCACCACCGCCCCCTCACCCCTAAATCCTTGACTAAATCCTTGTTTGGTGCCGCAGGAAGATAAGCAAGAACAACACTTGGGCATAATTGACTCGTACTCCTCTCCAAGATGTCAGAGCGGAATCATCTCTCTGCATATTGCCTCAGTATGTCACAGACTGTACACTTCTGCATGTTGCAGATATAGAATCCAATCAAGTTCGAAAAACAAACCAGCGCAACCCTCGTGCTGGAAAAACTTCCCGGTCGACAGCGAGGGAAAAAAGAAAAGAAACAAACTGCAGGAGCTGCTTTTAGCTGCTTCTCTACAGTGAAGGGGAACTCTCGCTCGGCTCCCGTCCTCACCCTGGAGGATCTGCTTTAGAAACCACAACATTTGCAGATTTTGTTTTTTTTCATCCGAGTGAATGTCAGCGTCTCGTCTGAGTGGGGCAGTTTACAGGTAGTGTGTTACACAGGTGTTGGTTTACACAGGAAATGGCACATGCAGCCTGATTGGGACGGTCCCAAGAGACCGAGGCATAAACGTAGAGCACAGATGGGTCCAAGGGCCAGTGGGAGCAGCACCTTAATGAATACGCAGCTGAGTACTGCACTTCACAACATGCAAAACAATATTCTAAGGCCGCAGTAAAAAAAAAAAAAAAAAAAAAAAAAAAAAAAAAAGAAAAAAAATGATCTGAATATCATTACAAAAAAATTTTTCATACCTTTTCTAAAGGGACTACGGCAAAAAGCCCCCCCCCCCCCTGCTTTATTGATGATTTCATTCAATATCTCAGCAGATCACTGTTTGTATGACAATGCATTTTAGTTACAAATGTAAGCAGTTTATTTAGCACACAGCCGTGTGTGTGTGTGTGTGTGTGTATATATAGCAAAATAGTCATTTTAATTGATTAAAATGAGGTGACCACATACAAGAGAGAGAGAAAAGAGAGCCGGAGAGAGAAATTATAGAGGAAAAAAAAAAAATAAGTTGTTGATACGGTTCCCGGTGTGCGAGCACATCATGTAAACAGGCCCCAAACAGGGAACACATTTACCATAAAGCTATTCAGTGTGAACCAGGACATTGATTCACAACACTACACGAGTGTGAGAAAAACGATAAATGCATCACCTCAGATATTTCACACTAGCGTTGGTAGTGTGTAAAAGCTGTTGTGACAGCTTGGGTATTAGGGCTAGATAGATGGAAAATGTCTGGCTGCTTATGAATGCCAATGTGACTGAGGTGACGGGTTTGACACAAAAACACTCTACCTCAGAACAATTAGGCTGTTCTCAGGCCCCCATCCAGTGTTGTCAGTGATAATGGAAAGCTGTGAGGATAACTGGTGATAAATAGACTTTAACACCCTCCTCCTTAAGACCAATGCAGTCATGCAGTCCTCTCATATGCTTAACTAATCATGAGCATGGCCGGCAAAAATTCATACAAAAGACTAATTACTGTTGTACTTCACTTCAGTCTCAAAGGCCTCTTATATAAGGACTTGGGGGTTCTCTTGCCTCTTTTCTCCTCTTGATGGGTATTTTTTTACAAGTAGGCCTCGTGCTAGACAAAAGCGTTTAAAAATTGGTGATTGCTTTCATCCGCTTTAATTACATTCAGAAATGGCATTTCTGCCACATAATACACTTCTATTGTTTCAGAATTATCTGGCTTGGGGAGTAAAATCTACAATATTTGATGATGCTCCCGAGCTAAATCGCCTCTTGAAATTGAAATATGCAGCCGAAATACAAAATAAAAAGGCAGCCTTTTGCTGCTGATATACTGGAAGCTCCTTGGCTTTCTGCAGAATGCTATTATTATGCATATCCAGGTAGAAAGTTAATTAACCCAAAGCTTAAGCTAATTATGGTAGCAGAATGCTATCAACCAAACGCTTTCAGTCAGACAGCTGTCCAGAATTTCATTTGCTAATCATTTGTCTTTTGCCGGAGCATATGGTGCATTTCCCCACTATCACAGCAACAACAAACAGATGAAAATCATTAACTAAAAACAATGTGCAATGTGGAGAATCAGACACATATTTATAAGGCTTTGTGTCAGAAAAAAAGGGGGGATTTATGGCCTGGGAAGTATAATGATAATTTTTGGTTTTAGCCACTTAGGATTTTAGGGAGACCACGTGACTCATGTGTGCTGGGAATTCAGATGCACAAATATATTGTTTATATCTATATGCTAATGAGACTGAGAATGAGAATGTTTATCCGTGTAAAATTAATTACAATTTTCTATAGGAGCATATGCAAAGCTTGTATCTTACACTGTTAAAAGTAGAAATCCCTCCGCTCAGAATTAAATCAATTATTTTCCAAGAAATGCTTCATGCATTATTTTTTTTTTTTCTTCTTCTTCTTCTTTTCATAAAAAACATCATACCGGCTGTTAAAAGGTGATTGATATCAGCATTGCCTTGCGACATTATCAGGCAATAAAGGCTACTCAGGTTCTAATGCAACATGTCATACACAGGCTCCTGTAGTACATTTCTATTGAGGACCTCACAAGCTAAATTGCTTTTTCCCTGCTCCCCCACATCTCAGCCAGCTTGACAGACAAATTGATCAAAGCATTGTAAAATAATATGCTCACAAAATGTCTCGGGGCAGGAGTCCAGCCCTGTTTTTTCATTTTTCACCCTAATAAAAAAAGTACTCTATGATTTCCTCTGTATTATGTGTCTGTGCTCTGTGTGAAAGAGGCAAGAAGCATCATATTTCAGATAATAGTAACCTCCTGTAAACAAAATGCATATCATTTGTCTGTGAACGCTGAGGCCATGCTAAAAACTAAAAAAAAAAAAGGGGGGGGGGGGAGCTGTTTAGCAGCGAGGCTGGTGCGTAGGGCCCCAACAGGGGTTGTTGAGATGTAATGAATTTGTTCATCTGATGGTGCCTTCAGGGCTGTCGTTAGACTGGCAGAGGAGGTTGATTTTAGGAAATGTTCCTAAGATCAGTTAGGAAGCAAAAGGGGCTTGAGACGTTTCTATTAGAAAGAGCTGACGGTCATGGTGTGTAAGCAATACTTCAAGGGCGTTTATGTAGCTATAATGGCATTTATCAATAACTATCTATCAATGCCACACGTGCTTTTGTTGCTGCACCGGCTGTTCAGCACCAACCAATATGGTGAATTCCAAAAAAAACAACATAGAAAGCAAACAGAGTTGCATAAGCCTGCAAAAGCTGTGACTCGCTCACAAATATACTACTGTAGGTTTTACTTTATGTTATGCATAGATGTTATCCATTTCCCTTATCCAAATATGCTCTTAGAGATCATTTATCACACTGACTTCCTAAGCCTGTACCACACCACATCCAAAGCTGGAGAGAGCCTTGTTTAGTATGTCATAAATAAATCAATGGAAATGGCTGATTTGAACTATTACTGCTACAGGCGGGCTTTTGTGAGATCTACATGTAAAGCCGGTTGCAAAGATAAGCCTATATTTTGTCACTTTATCTTGCCTCCCTTAATGCCTGTTTACATCGTGTTACACCATATATCTGAGGTGGCTCTAGTCCCCCAGTCCTGTGACAATAACATCGTATTCAACTGGTCGAGATAAAAATCTAAACATTTAGTTTAATGATTTCTTGCTCACACCTTTTGAGAACGTACAGACAAGCGGTGTGATCGAAAGCGTCACTTATGACCGACACAGCAAATGATATTAAACTGAGAAATGATCTAGTGATGCGAATCATTAAATTCATTTGCATATTCCTACTGAACCTGAACACACAAATTAAACCCTGTTCACAAGGAGACGGAGAAAGGTGCTTGCGCATGGTTACAGGACATCTTCCATAATCAAAATTCCATATTATTAATTTTCTCACTTCAACTCATTAACAACAAGTGGAATGTTTTTACTGCTTGATGAATTTGAGGAAATAGCAGACAGTCAGGAAGGAAACACATGTTGAGGTAGAATATACACGGTCATTAATGGGTTTCCATAAATTAGAATCTGAACATACATTTCCAAAAGGATAACTTCCTATCCGGGTGCATTTGGAAATGGTTTAATTTCCCAAACCATTCAAGTTTATCAAATGCGAATCTGCGGATACATGGATATTTAATTTCAATCTAATCAAAACTAATCTGAGATGTAGGATGTGGACCTGGAAAATTCAGGAATAAGTACTTATTAGCGCCGAGTTTAATCAGTTTCAATCGCTCCAGTAAGACTGGCAACATTCGAACAATTTTGAGGGATGGGCAGGGCATGAAATGCAATCACATATTACATTTCAGAGTGCCGGTTGACACTCGGAACGACTGCATACAACTTGGAGGGAACATAAATAAACAGGAGCGAGCAGTCCATGCTCCCAATGGCCTTTGCTGACCCTACAGACATCAGCTATAATCAACTCCCTTGTGGGTAATAAACAAGTTATTTTTCTGAAATTTCAAATATACTGCAGGAAGAATCACAACCACATGCCATCAGAAATCTAATTTCAAGCCCAACTGTATTCTAGTGCCCCTCATATTTCTACTGCCTGCTCATATTTGCCCAACTTTCTCCAGGATATTTCTTGTGGGATCTACAAAAATGCCCTGCTTCCAATGAGGAATGGGGGCACTCCATCACAGGCGTGGATTCTGTCCGCCTGTAAATTTCACACCTTTGTTTATCACGTCACCAGCCCGGCTGTTGTACAGTACCTTTCAGCAGGTGCGACATCCATTAGGATCTGGATGGTGTGCACACCATTCTCACATCCACTGACTTGGATCGTCCCCAGGGGGCTCAGCAATGAGATGGTCTTCTGAGTGCACTGGCTCTCCCTCTGCTTCTTCATCTCGCTGCCCGGCTAAGGAAGCACAAATTACACGCCGTTCATTGACATATTCATGTGGCAACTTTCACAATTTCCCACACACCATTTGCATTGAATGATCTATTGAAAACCTAGCAGGCCACCAACGGATGATGACTTACATATTTGAACACCTAGCCTCCAAACAATGTCATGATGTGACTTGATCCCAACATTACTATCCAATATTTCTTTTGTGCATGGAAAGGAATACGCCTATCTAACCAATAAATCGCCCATTTTTTCCCCCTCTTTCTGTTCTATATATCACATAAATGAGAAAAACAATGCAGTCTGTTCCCTTGTCTGGTGGGGGATTCCCAAGATAGCTCGACATTATTTTCAATCCGTCATTTTTGGTTGATGGTCGGGATGTTTTTCTAGCATTAAATTTGTTCCTCAGGGTGCAACTCCGATGGGATTCTGGTTTCCAGCCCTTAACAACAGCAAAAACGTGCAGCTTTTCTGACGACTGAGATGGATACTGGCAATAACCAGACAGCAGTTCCTTTTTTATTTTTACTTTGAGGGAAGGAGAGATGATTGACTATGTTATATGTGAGTTTTTGAGAGATGGGGGTTATAATAAATAAAGGTCACATTGATTGTAAGAGTTTCAACCAAGGAAACCTTTCCTTCCCGAAACCTTGATCTAAAAAGTGTCTAAAGGGTACAAATACAATATCGCTCTCTCTGTCTTTTTGATTTTTAATAGTGCATGTTATTCACATCCATATATTTCAACTCATACGTTTGCTGTGTGATGTGCCGCAACTGATTATTTTCATTTATCCGTCATTCTGCTGATTATTTTCGCGATAAATAAACACATTGTTTAATCCATAAGATGTCAATAGAGTGTAACAGAGAAAAATGTCCATCACAGGTTTCCAGTCCACGGTGGCAATTTTCACACGTGTTGTTTTGTCCGACCAGTAGTCCAAGACCAAAAGATATTTAGTTTACAAATTAATAAACAGTAAAAAGTAGAGAATCCTCAAATTTGAGAGGATGTACTCAGATAATAAATGCAGTTTCAGAATGTACTTTAAACTAGATGCAGTCTTGTAGACTAGGTACTTAATCAAGCAACAAAACTAGATAATAATTAACCGATTAATCACAATCTGGCAACTATCCTCATAATCAATTCATCATTTTATTTATTTATTCTAGTAAAAAAACAAAAAAAACAAAAAAAAATACTAAACATTACCTCCTTCCAGCTTCTCAAATGTGAGGAATTGTTGCTTTTCTTTGTCTCGCGTGAGAGCAAAGTGAGGGTTTGCGGCTGTTAGCGTCACCCTGAGCTTGAGGAAATTGTGAAGTAATTTTAAACTCTTCTCTGATATTTTATAGAGCAATCTATGATTCAAATAATCTTATAGTTGCAGCCCCCAAAAGCACAATGAATACAAATATAAACCCTGCACTGCTTAATGCAGCCTGCACTTTTAATTTCAGAATAGATACAGAACTATATATATTTTTAGATTAAACAAAGGTTATGTGATAAAAAAAAAAAAAAAAAGTAGTCATGCATTTACAGTATTTCATATAGACTTTGTTGCCCCCTCTTCACATACACACCCCACCACATCTGTCACGGTATGCGATCACAAATGCGTCTGCTTCAACTTTCTTGTTTCTACTCTTGCAGCTCTCACTGTATTCTTCGGGGGTTTGCCTGAACTGACAATAAAGGCGAGCATTTTCTGAGCCAAACAATGGTACAGTGCACTTTGGATAAGCGCTGAACACACTGGCTGCCATTTAGCAAGCTAGTAATAGACTCATAGATAGAATAATGGACTTCGGCAGTAATGGCCTTGGCTAATAGTCTACGCTGATTAAAAATAGCGCCATCATGTTTTGTGCCGTTTTCGGTGCAGTACACTGGTCTAAGTGACTACTTGAATGCTAGGGTGTTTACCCGGCTCTTTCACGGTGAGGAACAACAAACAATAAGCAGCTTGTGTTGTTAAAAATCACTGGCAGCGTCCTCGCGCTCGTCCATCATTTGACTCGTTTCTCATCACACTAGTTCCTGGTCAAACCTAATCGAGTAGAAAGAGCGCTGTGGCTGCGCAAATGCAACACGTGTGCTTATAGTGTGCGGGATTTTAAATGTAAGGAAATCGATGCCGAAACGTGGGCAAAGTCTGGCGCAGTGATTTGAGAGAAGTGTCATGAAACTAGTTAGAATACATCTTTTCAAATTAAGCGAGCACTTAAAATGTCGAAAAGATGAACGGAGGTTCGTACCTGAAGGTACGGATTTACTCTAAAGATAACCCTCGATAGCATAAGAGTATACGGATAACATTTGAACTGCACATTGTGTGAGGCTTTGTAAAACTGATTTAGACACTGTAAATGAACTCAGTAGCTTACAATGAAGCCGTTTGCGTCCGTGCGGAGTCCGCTTCTACTCCATGTGCAAAACAAACGTAGCAGAAAGTCTCTTCCTGTTTCTCCAGACGGCGTGGGCGAGTCGGCCAATCACAAGAGGCTAAAGTCAACCATTGCTCTGTAATTGGCCGTTATAAAGTCCCCGCCCCTCCCCTCTGCCAGGGACAGACACAGAAGGCTTGTCTTATGGGTCTCAAGTTGGGATTTGGGGTCCTTCAGGGGCCTCAGTACACAGAAGACTAGTAATGGTAGTGATTTAGATATTTGATTTGCTTGATATTTTTACAGCAGGAATAAAAAAAACTGAAGCATATTTTGAACATTAATGTCAAACACTGTTATCTCTCTACTTAAAGCTGAGACATTTATCCAATTCTGTATCTCCAGTGACACTGAGGTATTCAGGGTCCCAAGCATAACGTTTGTGGATAAGAAAACACCTATGATGCTATCAACCAATAACATTTGGCTACCGACTAATAAAGTCACCGTGTTATTATGAACAACACATGGGGCAGCATTTTTTTATTAGAGTTTTATGCGGTTTTAAGTTGCCTTATGTTGCCTGGAGCAGTCATAGATTTAACTGAAGCATACATTTCTGTGATTATGACCAAGTGTGTGGCATCAGTCATGTATTGTTTAAACGTGTCTGTTGTCCTCTGCAGCTTTGTCTTTTTTGTTTTTTTTCTGTGGTGCCTTCAGCTCTCTGCATGCCTCCGTTTGGAATGTGTAGGCCGGCGTGGGCCTGTGGCCCACACCCCATCTCGGTGGTGAGGGTGGGAGCGGGGGAGAAAACGCCACCCCTGCAGAGACCATTTTGAAATCTGTGAGGATTTCCGTGCCATCTGGACCCGCTGCCAGTCTGCCCCAGATAGTAAGGGTTGGCAACGGTACCCGACGGTGCAATATGGCTCTCTCTTTAATGAACTACTAACTGTCCCCCGTTTTAATTGATGTGACATTTGAGCCATTTATCTCTGACATTTCAATGAAGGATGATTCTCAGCCTTGCCATTTACTTTTTTGTGCTATTTTCTAAGAGTCATTTGCATTTTTCTGCTCTAAACCTGCTTTTTGTCTCTCATTAGCTAATTAGAGAGAAACATGCACAATTAATAAAAATGAACATAACCTAGTTTGATATAGGCTTGATGAGGCATAATCAGAAAATCAATGTTTTCTTAATGTTCATCAAAAATGGTGTGAAGGGCTACCTGTGGTAAAAGGTGACTTCGATAAAGCCTTGTAACCTTTACCCACATACCAACATGTAGCCTACAGTGTGGGACAACTTATGTTCGCAGCATGAGGAGAATCAAGCTCAATTAATCAGCATATGATTGCAGTAAGCAGCCCCCTCTGCTGGATCTTCTGAGCCATACTGTTTGAAATCATTTTAATGCTGCATTCAGTGGCCAGACAATTATCATATGTGGCAGTCACAGTGGAAGTTTCTGCATTTGCTTTATATCTTTTAGTGAAAATAAAAAGTTTCAAATGTGCAAATTTAAAATCATTTAAAAACAACTTTTACTTTTTTGTCATCCTATATTTATTGTCTATTAATTTTAATTACTGCTGGCACATGAAAGCTGTTTTGCACATTTTATATTTTGTTTGTACAGTCATTTATATTCATCCTGATAAGCGCAAATAATTCATTTAAAAAACAGGAAATATTTAGCCATGGTGTGTTGAAATAAACAACCCAAAGTGCGTGTGAGTGACATAACAACCTGGTATGCTAAAGGTTCCAGCCTCAATTGTTTTCCATAATGACACATATTTTTAATCTTTTTAAGATATCCTTTAAAAACACGGCTGCGCTGATGACGACTGTTCCTTTGATTGTGAGCAGCATCATTGCCAAGGTGTGGTGCCCTGTCTGTGTTGGCAGCCGGGCTGATATCTTTTGTTTGAGACTCAAAGAGCTCTTTTTCCTGTTCAGTTTCCCTCACTATTTTTGTTTGTGTGAGGTGTTGATAGACTTATACGTTGCACAGCTTCCTTTTAGTGTACAGCACCAGATGTTTGTGAGAATAACAACCCTAACCTTTTTTTGTCAAAATGACAGAAATTGTTTATTAGCAGTTTTGTCCATCCGGTAATGTATGATTGTCATAGCTCAGTCATATACTGCTTGTCTGTGTCTTGTTCTCTTTTCCTGTGTTCGCAATCTCACTCTCATGTTGGCGTGGGAGGAGTTGAAGTCATTTATGATATTAGATATTCTCTAGGAGAGCAGGAAATTCCTGACAGACTGAACAACCGCCATCCTCTCACACAGCGGCGTGTGTGAGTGTGCATTTTAATCAGGAGAAATGGCTCTGTGGGCCTCACATTGCACGTCAAGGAGGTCTGGGTGTTCTCATTGTGAATACCCAGTGTACAGTAGATGTTATGTCTGTTCCTCTAAATCAAACCGTGAAGCATGCAGGAAAAAGGCAACCTGTTATTTTGTTCTTTTTACTTTGACACTTTGTTATTTCACTCCTCTTAAAAAGAATTAGCCTGATCACCACATAAGCAATGCCGCAATCACAAAGACGTGACAAAATGTCTCTGTACCCTCTAGTGCCCACTTATTTAGTGTGCCTGTGCGCCTCTGTCCCTCCATCTCTGATATGATGTGGCTCCTCTATTTTACTGTTGACATAGTGCTATGAATGTCTGAGCACTTTGCAAATGAAGAGGCTTGAACTCCTGACAGGCAGTGTCGCCGGCACCATGACACACTGGCCCGCACATGCTGTGCGGCATAATGATGACATTAGGATCCAGTGATAATATCAGGACGCACTTCAGATAAATGACTGATAAACCAGGGGTTGTGCCTCTCGTATTACACGCTTGACAGAGCAGCTAATCAGTGTCCAAGTGACTGCTATTACATAAATCATGAGCTCGACTTTGATGCATATTCCATCAGTGTTCCCTATTCATCACGTCATCTGGGGGAGACTCTCTGGATGACTGGCTGCCGGGCCAACACACATTTTAAGAGCACATTATGTTTTCATTAGAATTTGATATGATCCATTCCAGTGTTGATTTGATTTTACGTGCTCGGGTCATTTGATAGGAAACTACCTAGGAGAGGGAGTGTATTGTTACACTGTGCAAGCTGTTTGCGGTGTCATTTTACTGTCGCTGGCCACATTTACAGTAAAGAATCTTGTTGATAAACAGGATAGTTTCTAAATATAATAATCAGATTTTATTGAAATTGTCAAAATTATCTTTGTATTTTATATTTAATTATATTTATTCCCGGTTAATTTACAGAACTGTCTTGAAATGAAGATTCCCCATTAAGAAGCTGACCAGCGCATTGTTGTTTTATTTAGCAATGAAATCAAACCTTCAGAGAGGAAGTTGGAAGGGAGATGTGGGGTGTTGAAGTGAGTCACCATGTATGTTTTATTCTCCAGTATTGGGGTCAGAGGATGTGAAGGTGGGGGTGTTAATTTAATCCCCATTCTTACCCAGAGCATGGCCACACTCTCTAAGGAGCTTTATCTCTGACAACTGTGTCAAATTAGAGAGGCCACGAGCCCCTCATAAAGAATATGTCTGTCAGACTACATTGTTCCTGGTCTCTGAAATATACGGCCGAGAGAGACAAAAATAGAAGATAACACCGTAGTCCCACAGTTGGACTTGAACATGATGAAATAATTTCCAAGTCATGTGATCCTGTCAGCAAGACACACCGCTAATAAAAGTGACGTCCACGTATCATTCTCTATCTCTGGTGCTTTGCTATTCATGGTTTCAATAAGTATTGTTGAATACACAAAGCCGACCTGCTCTGGCATTATTCCTCATATTTGTGCCGTGAAATTATTTGTTATCTTTTATGCTAATAAAATGCATGAACACACTTATTTAGAGAACTTTATTGGACATTAATTCATTGTAATTCAACCTGACTGCGTGTAATTGATGGGAGTGTTACATTCCATTAGGCATGGTACATAACTCTAGGTCAGTCCAGTCTGATAAGTGCCCATCATTTATCTCCCTGGTATCATCGCTGTCCCACAGTCAAACATGTAAAACAACTCTTAATGTTCTCCCTCGTCCCCTATGGGTGTTTCTCCCTGTTATCATCATTGCCTCTATTCTAGGGGGACTTCCTCTGGAGACAACATTTTCATAGACCTTTGACCTAAACCATATTTTCCATTTGAATGGTCTGACTAGTGAATATTTACAAGCATGTTTAATGTATAATAGATCTCATCTGTGAGTATCAGGAGTCATTTTCTGCTCAGTCAGGTTCTAGCGTTGGCCCTGGCCCCTTGCTTGAGGTTATATTGACCCCTCTTAAAAACAAAATGACCTGTGCCTCATTTAGGCCAAGTAGTATGCATACATATTGTACGAGTCCTAAGGGCATACATGTTTATAACAAGGAAAGCTAGCGGTCTCGAATGTAAACATCTTAGCACTGTAATATTATTGTATCAGTAAAGTCCCAGAAGGTGGTAGATTTAATAATGTGGGTGGATTATATAAGAGAGAGAAATAAAGCAGTAATTTGAAATTGTTTGGGGACCTTTTGTGTCAATGGTTATGGAGGCTAAGGGACAATTCCATTCCCTCAGGCCACTGTTAAAAAGGCAATGACTTTTCGTGTACATGCACAGCATTTTGGAATCTACATGCGTTACTAGCACCACAGGCTTTTATCATGTGATTAGTAATACATAATACATTTGATTCTATTATCATGCATGGAGAAAAAAAAATGAATGAAGATGGTGAAAGGAAGAACACGTTGATGATGAATAACGTCTGCAGCAAAGTGCTTGAATATACATTTAATAGTGAAACAGATCTCGGTTTGCTTCTCGGGTGCTTATACAACCACAGGGTTTTTAATCTCTTTCTTGCCGATGAAAGTCCCAGTAATTGCTATATTTCCCTTTTTGTTTCAAGGACCTTTGATGATCCCTTGGCTTGCATCAGAGGGCAAAGTCATTAGTGGAGAAATGAGCTCAAGTGAAGAGAAAGAGATTGCGGGGCTCCCAGCATGATTGGAAACTTT